TGGCCGTACAGCAGCGGGGGCGAGCGGGCGGCTCCACTTCCGACGCTGCGCCGGACGCGCGGCCCGCCGGGAGGACGCGTCCGGGTCCGGGGCTCTCTTCCGCGAGCCACACCCTTCGCCGGCTCCCCGCCTGCCCCGCAGTGCGGCCGAGGCCCGCGGGGGACCGGGACGGGGCCGTGCGGGGCCCCAGCTCCACTTCCTGCCTCACTGGGGCGGGCGCCGGGCCCCGTGTAGGGGACCCCACGCTGCTTAAACCCGGCTCGGTTCCTGATCGCCGCGGCAGAGGTTTTTAACCTGGGTTCACACCCCGGGAGCGGGGCGTCCGAGGACGGCCTGCAGGAAGGGTTCTCTGCACACCCGGACTTATACACCGCATTACGGGAGAGAGGGGTATGGTGAATGTTCATTTTTCTGGAAGAGTCCATAGTTTTTAATCAGGTTCTCTAAGGTAGCGCTGTCCAATAGAAATGTTATGCAACACACAATAAATACTATATGCAATTTTTGTCAAAAAGAATCTGAAAAAATCTTGAACATGGGCCTGGGTAGAGAGGTATAGATTCTACTAAGAGGCTTTTCCTGACTCCCCTAACCCCGGAAGGGATTTATCACTCCTTAGTGTATTCATCGACTCCCCTAGCACTGTATTCATGGCTGGATTAGAGGGCTTATCACATGGGGTCTAATTGGTTTTGAGACTTGTCTCCTTGTCTGGTATAGTGTCATTCATCTTTGTTGTGATTATGGCCTGCACCTAAGAGATGATCAGTAGATGTTTACAGGCCGAATGAGTAAACCACTAACCAGTTGTATTCAGTCTCTTAATACTTGAAAGGACTTGCTACTTCCTTGTTTAGGAAATTTGTGCCCATACTACCCTCTCCCACGTTAGTTACCTGTGCGTGTGAATTCATTTCAAGAAGTGCACAGAAAGTATCTTCTATCTTTTCCCTCCTCCTGATCTTACAGATGAGAGAATTTAGGCACAGAACTAAATTAGAGTGGCTGGCAAATTTGCATCAACTGGAATACAAAGAAGGGGAGGAAAGTTCTTGAAAGGGGTCTCAGTGGAGGTTCCTCAGATGCTGGGGATCGTTTGGCCCAGCTTTGGTTATTTAGTAGGAGGAAAGAGAAGTGGGGAGGTGAAGAGTAACCCCTGGGCCATGATGAGCATTCAGGCAGATTCAGGTCTGGGAAGCTGAGGATGTCCTTTCTGGAAGCATGATTGCAAAGGGAAAACTCACTGCTGGAGAAAGTTGAAAAGCAAAATGGTTATCTCAGATCAGACGTGCTGGCAGGAGGCATGTAGGAGAGAACCAGAAGGGTAGAAGAAAGGTCTAGGGAAGCCAGCAAAGAGCAGTGAGCTTTAGCTTGCTGAATATATTGGTGTGATACATCATATATAATATATACATTATTATTATAGGGAATAACCACTTAGAGAGCAGTGCCAGTTCTCAGTCTGCAGAATGGAAAATTGAAAGAATCAGAGACACAGAGAAGGCAAGCAACTTACCCAAGGCCACACAGCACTTTAAGCCCAAATGAAGCCTCCTGGGCCCTTCCCACGACACTTACCCAGCCCCACCCACACCTCAGTTGCAACCAAAGAACCCAGTAAGATGCCTAGGAGAACAGGTGTGGGGCACAGTGCCAGGCCCGATTAATGTCTTCCTCACCGTCTTCCAGTGAGGGGCTGTGATTAGGCCTATTTATAGGGGCCTGGTGCCTTAATATTCTGCCTGGTGCATTTCTTGCCAATCAAATCAGTACCGTCTGCAGTGTGATTGCTGCTTTAGTGGCACCAGGGAGCGGAGTTAATTAAACCCAATATAAATAGACTCTGCCCTCACCTTGCAATTGGAGTGTTTTTCCTTCCTGTCTTCCACCCCCACATGCCCCTCCCTTCTTCTGGCCCCCTTAGCTCTAGCCTGGGTGAGCAGAGCATGGACTCCTGTACCTAAAGTCACTAGCCACTGCCCCCTCTGCCTCAGGAGCAGGCCCCAACTTCCTCAGGGGCCAAAGTGGGGAGAGCCCAAGTTGTCTGCATTTGCTGTGCTTTTCCAGATCTGGGTACCATGTAGATTCATATAATCTGCCCGTCCCCCCACCACTCCCTTTCCCCAATTCATCCCTCTGTTTCCAGCATCTTTTTTATTCTGCAGCTAGGATTTCTCTCCTGTTTATCCAAGCATAGGAGGTTGAACTGAGATAATGTATGGAAAGCGTGCCTAGCAAGCACTTTATTAGGGGGTCAAGAGATGTTGCATCTTCTCTGAATTCCTCTCTTGTCCCTGGTCCTGTCCTCTCCCTCCCTCATTTACTCAACAGGCATCAGCAGAATTCCATCTCCTTTGAGCTCCTAGTGTCCCACCCAATACTGTCTTCCCCCGTCCTCACCTGCACAGGCTGAACCTCTGCAGATGATTGGAGTGAAGGCTGTGCTCTCGTCTTGAGACATCTTGCCCCGTGATGGGAGGGTGTGCATGCACGTGGGGTAGTCTTGATGCTCTGGTTCCCACACACAGGCACCATGACTCCTGTGAGGACCCAGCACTCCTTGGCAGGTCAGAGCTACGCAGTGCCCCTCATCCAGCCAGATCTGCGGCGAGAGGAGGCCATCCAGCAGGTGGCAGATGCCCTGCAGTACCTACAGAAGGTCTCTGGAGACATCTTTAGCAGGTGGGTGCTGCCACCCACCCCCACCTGATCAGAGGGTTGCCCCTGTCCTAGGCAGTCCTCTCTCCAGTCCCAGGAACATACCCTGTGTGAGCAGCCCCTTTGATTCTTGGTCCTGGGGGACCCAGCCGGCTTCCCTGTGGGGGAGGGGCCCAGGGCGGGAGTCCAGCTTGGAAGCTTTTTCTGTGTCCAGAGCTCACCACCCACTTAGCTGCTGGTTTCCTGTGGATCCCACAGGCCCCAGTGGTGGCTCTGCTCTCCCGATTCACTCTCCCTCCCCCCAGGGGCCCTGTTCCTTCGCTTATTCCTTCAGCCAGCAAATATTTACTCAGTACTTGTGTGCAGGGCACTGTGCTGGTCCTTTAGCCACAGCAATGAAGAAGGCAGCGTCCCTGTCCAACTAGAGTGCGTATGCTGGCAGGAGAGACCTAATCAATTGTAATTTTAAAGTTATTTAATTACAGTTGTGATAAGAGCTGTTTATAGTATTTTTTTGTAATAACTAACATTTGTATAGCATTAACCATTGACCTGAGTACATTAACTCACTTAACCCTTGCTACACTTTATAAGGAGGTACTGTTGTCGCCATTGTATGGATGAGGAAACTGAGGCACAGAAAGGCTGAGAGACTTGGCCAGGGCTCAAGCTCAGGGATTGTGGCTGCAGATTCTGTGCATTATTACCATCTCTGCTAAGGGGAGGTGAGCGCTGTGAGACTTGTAACTGGAGGCCTGGCTTGGCCTGAGGGGATCAGGGAAGGCACATGTGAAATAATAACATTTATGGTAAAATCTGAGGGGTGAGTGGGTAGGTTGGGAAGAACCTTCCAGAAGGAAAAAAAGGGCATGAGCTAAAGCCTTGAGGTGGGAAGGATCTGAGAGGAAGCCAGTGCGGCTGAAGCCAGGAGAGGCTGGTGAGGTGGGCAGGGCCTTAGAGGTCACTGACAATTTTGAACTTGGAGAGCTGCAGTTTTTTGTACCTCCAGCACTTATCCGGCACAGTCCTTGGGCTACAGTGGCTTTTCATACAGTGTTTACTTAATGTGAATGAGTGTATGGTGTTTGCTGTTTCCTTGCGAAGGTCCCGGGTTTGTCCGGTGTAGGGGTCGCGTCTTCGTCTGTCCATCAGCAACCTGAGATGAGGCTCAGGGCTCCTTCCTGGGTGCTGCACCGTGCCTCCCATGGGGGAACGTTACTCCCACCCAGTGTGAAATGTTGGACTGCCTGACGCAGGTTCTTCTCATGCTCCGTGTCATCCCCTCCCCGCCCCTGACTGTGCTCCAGACCTGGAATCCCTACCCCTTCACCATGTAATCTCCTCTTCCTTCACCAATTGGAGGTCTTCCTCCTCCAGGAAGCCCTCCCCAGTGGGGGGAGAAAATGTGGTTATTGTGTCCAGTTGGACTTGGAGTAAACACCAGATCCTCTTGACTCTTCTGCCTCATCCCTGCCTATTGACCCACCTGCCTGCCTCACCTGTCTAGATTGTAACTGTAACCACGGGGCCATGCACTGAAGTGGTTAAGGGGTCCACTCAGGAGCACAGTGCCTCACATCAAACCTGGCTGCTACTTAACCCCTCTAAGCCTCAGTGTTCTCATCTGTAAAGTTGGGATAATAATATCTTCCACGTAGGATTGTTGTAACGATTACATGACTTAAAACACACAAAGGAATTCAGCAGTGCCTGGCACATAGGAAGCATTCAGTGAATGTCAGCTCTTCTCTGTTGTCATCGCTACTCATTGGCTGCCTATGGTGGCCGTTCACTAATCTGCTCTCAATAGTTATAGAACATGTTAACGCCCCCAGTGCTTAGTATTGTGCTAAATGTGCCCAAGGGACACATAAACAGGAGGACACAGGCCCTTAAGAGCCATGTGCCGCAGATCATGGCCACCCCGTGCCCAGTGCTTGGAGTGGATGCCAAAACTAGTCTCCAGGAGATCGTATTTCCCCACCAGGACTGCGACTGCAGGCTCACGCTCTCTAAGGGGAGCGTTGGCTTTTTGGCACACTCTCCTTTCCTGTCCTGGTATTTGGAACCAGTCGCATGTCCTCTGCCCATGATGGCATGAGGAGAGGGCAGGAAAGCCATCTCCAGGAGTGGGGAGGGGTGAGTCAGTTGAGCATGGGTGCAGGCCCTCCAAGGGTGGGCAGGACCTGAGTCCGGGCTCCCTCACAACCGGGTTCCAGGTCAGCTCATCCCACCATGTGCTCAACATTGTGCTGGACCCTGGGGGCCAGCAAAGATGTGTACAGCGCAGTGTCCTCCAGGAGCTTAGAGTCCGGAATGGGAATGCAGCCAGGCTAGGTTAATTCTCAGTTGCATAGCATGGACTTGCAGAGATATAGAAAAGCATGAAGTTAGAATGGGTGGCACATCTGTCCATCAGAACTCCCCAAACCAGGTGAAGCAAAAAGTAACCGATCAGCAGAGCAGGCGTGGGAGCTGAAGAATGTGTATGTGTCATCAGGACCTGGTTTTGCTTTCATTCCATTTCAGCTTTTGGGCCGGCTCCATTCTCAGACAGCCTTGCTGTAGTGGTGGTGAGGTGACAGAAGGGCCAAAGCTCGTACTCTCAGGTTCAGGTCTAGAAGGAAAGAATGCCTTCCACCGCTCCAGCATTTCCTCCAGAAGTCACACTTGCTTCATTTGGCCTCTTGTCTATCCCAGAATAGATTGGTAGGGCCAGGGGCATATGACACTGATTGGCTTAGACCTAGATCACCTGCATCACCCCTGAGCCCTGGGTGTAGCCCCCCCTGAAGCACTGGGAAGAGACGGATTCCCCAAAGGAAATGGAGGCTGTTACTTGAATAAGGAGGACAGATGCTGGAGAGGAAAACTTCGTGCCTCCTCCACGTGGCTAGGGAAGGCTCCTGGAGGCAAGGCTATGCAGGGTTCGGAAGCTGGGTGTGCAGGTCACCTGATAGTCTTGAAATGGGGGCCACAGGCTCAGAGAGAAGCCTAATGTGGCCCGGAACACGATGTGTGACGGTCTCCTGAGGAGGCTGGCCTGAACAGGGGTGCTTTTGCACTGGGAGTACAGACATGCTGCCTGTCCCATACATTCAGTCCTTCACTGCAGAAGAAAGTGGAAAAGTTGCCTGCGAGTGCCTGTAGGCCTCGCTCCCCTCTGGGCTGGCACCCTTGCCTTGCATTTCTTCATGTCCTGCACAGGGCCGTGGGAGGGCTTCATGGCGGGAGTGGAGGGGCACGGTAATGAGAGAAAGGTTGGGACAGCTAAGCTAGGACCCCGGGATGGGCCTCTGAGCTCTGTTGAGGAGCTGTAGGGAGCCATGATGGGTTCTTGAGCAGGGAGGCGATGGGAAGGTTCTTCAGGCAGCTGTCACTGTGGACAAGAGGTAGGAGAGAGCGGATTCTGGGAACACCCTGGAAGCTGTGACCACAGTCAGGGCACGAAAGGCATGAGGCTGCAGTCCAGGGGAGTTGCACGGAGGGCTGGATAAGAGACACCTCAGAGGAAACAGTGACAGGACATGATGACAGATCGGGAACGAACGAGGGTGAGGAAAGGGAGGACTGAGTGGGGACGGGCCGTGCCAACACCCGTCCTCGTCCACCTGCCCCCCACCCTGCAGCAGTCAACAAGCGTGTGGACTTTTCGTTTTTCAGGGGCTTTTGCAGTGGGGATGTGACCCCAGCTTAGAATCTCCCCCCTTACATGCGTTCCTTCTGCTTGGAAACCTCCTGTGAGGAAGAGACAGGTGGCGGAGAAGAGACGCTGTGTCCCTCCTGCTGCTCCCTGTCTCAGGCCTGGCCGCGGCCTCGCTGGGGCCTGTGCGGCCGCTCACTCACTGCTCGGTGCAGGAAGGTGAGCTCATGGCACATTAGCATTCCAGGCTGGCGCCCTTCCTCCTGCTCTGCTGCAGCAGCGGGAGCCTGCGGAGACCAGAGAGAATGACAAGGACCTCTCAGCCCTCTCCAGCCCTCCGCCTGCCCCACCATCACCTAGGACAGGACAGGCCCCAAAATATCTGCCACGGATGTGACCTGCCTCACGTGATTCAGGTGACAAGGCAGGAGGGGGTTGGAATGGCACAGGGAAGAGGAGCTGGACACATCGTGTGTGTGGAAGTTTGGATGATGTCCTCTGCCATTCCCTGTCAGCCCCAGCCACCATCTAGCTCCTTCCTCCTGGGGAAGGATTCCTTTATCTCCGCGAAGCACTTTTCCTTTCCTCTCTCTCCTCCTCCTTCCTACCCTTCCTTTCATTTCCCTCCTCCTCTTCCTGCCTTCTCCTCACCTGCCCATCCTAACGTGTCCTGGCTTCCCCCGTCTCCCTGCTTCTCTCTACTGATTGGCACCTGATGGCCCGAGGTTACGCAGCACTCAGTCAGCTGCCCGCATAATTAGCAGATCGTTCTTAATTACCCCGGAGTGTGGAGAAGACAGAGGTGAAGGCAGGGCCCAGGCTGAGGGTCTGCTTCTCAGGGTTGGTCTGCATCAGGGGGGTTCTCCTCCCCAGCAGCCTCAGGGGACTGTGCTGCTGCCATGTTGCGTGGCAGTGCTGCAGGGGCCAGCCTGCCTGACCTCACAGGAAATACTCTCATAGGGGAACAGGAGGTCGTCTTTGCACATGGGGGGACAGGGAGCCCAAGCACGTCCTAGCCACCCTCTGCCACTCCAGGAGGGCGATGGTCCCTCCTTGCCATGGCTCTGTCACTCCATCCTCCGTGGCGTCCTTGCACAGTGCCTGTTTCCTCTGCCTGGAACGTCCTTCTCTGTGTCTGCTCAAGACTGCCTCTTCCATGAGACTTCCCGTCCCCACACCTGTCCACCCATGCAGTTCTCAGTTTCCTCTGAGTGCCTGTAGCCCCCCGTCACTCCTAGTCTTCTGAGTAATAATAGCAAATGGTAGCTGAGTACTTGGGTTGTGTCAGCGGGTACAGGAGCACTGTACTTATGCTAGTTCATGTGACCTTCACAGTAATTCTGTGACAGAAGTCACACTTCCTAAAGCCACACTGCTAAGTAATGTGACACCCAGGTGAGGGGGACACTGTCATTACTGATGTCACTCCTCATCTCCCTGGTAGACCCGAATCACCTCCAGGGCAGATGTGTGCTGTTTGGTTCATCTCTGTCCGCCTGGCCCCCAGCACCACGTTTTATGAACTGAATGTAGTCAAGTTACTTGCTGAACATTGAGGGGTGAGGAGGAAAAGAAGAAAGAGGGATGTTTGGAAAAGCAGCCGCTCCAGGGAGTAGAGGAAGATGGTGAGCCAGCTCCATCCCCAGCGCTGACAGTGGCGGCTTTCGCTGCTCATGTCTGGGCAAGCGTGCAGGGGGACAAGCTTGAGTGAGGGGCTGGGACACTGGCCTCGCTCGAAGTAGGCCACCAGGCCAGGGGGTCTAGACCAGGAATGGCAACAAGTTGCCCGCATGGGGGCTATTAACCAGCGTCCCAGCCCCAGTGAGGCTTAATGGTCTTTCCTAACACAGCCTTCCAGCCCGTCACTGCCAGTCAGTTGAGACGGCAAACTAACGAAAGCTGTCCTCACGCTGGGTCTGTACTTTCCCTCAGCATCGTGGCGTGTGGCCGTAAGAGATCCGGCTCTCTGGGGCTTTGTCAGCAAGCTAACCGTTAGGCTCTTCGATAAGAAAAGAACCCCAGAAATCATGTCTTCCATCCCTGCCTAGGCAGGACTCTCCCTTGGAGCTTCCTGACAGGTGGTCTTCCAGCTGGAATCTGATTGCTTTGCAAAGCTGTGCAGCTGTTTACTAGAACGTTCTCCATATGCAGAACCGAGATCAGTTTCCTTGTAACTCCACCCACTGGTCCTAATGCAGCCCTCTGGGGTGACAGAGAGTAAGTCTAATCACTTCTCCATCTGGCAGCCCTTCTGATAGTTTTGATATTTGGAGGGAATTACCATATTCTCAAAGTCTTCTCGTCTTCAGCCAGAACATCCTTCAGCTGCCTCCACCCTCCTCCTCACCCTCCTTTGGATGGGTTCTGTTCCTTGTCACTTTCTACTCAACCAGTGTCTGCTGCACATCAGGCTCCGTCCCAGGTGCTAGAGACACAGCAGTGAGTAAGACTCTCTGACCTGGGAGTTCAGAGTCCTCTCAAGACAGGGTCCAGTTTAAAGGGGACACAACTGTGGATGAGACGGGGGCCTGGCGTGGTTAGTGCTCATGAATCCAGGGCTGTGTGTTCTCCATGGCGCCTCAAAGAGAGCAAGTGTCCCTTGTTTATTGAAAGAAGGACAGAGGGTAGGAGAGGGATAAGGAGATGTGTACCTTACCATCTCATTTCTTTTAAAGCTGCTTAGCATGCGTTTATCTCCTACTGAGCTTATAGTTAACTAAAACCTCCAGGTCTTTCTTCATCTCAACTGCTGCTAAACCAAGTTCCCTCTCCCTACTGTATCTGTGCACTTGATTTTTTAAATCTGAATGCTGGGCTTCACAGTCATCCCTTGTAAATTCACTCTTGTCAATTGCAGCCATCCTTCTGGTCTTTCAAGATGACTTGAGTCTCGATCCCATCATGCAGACCATTTTGACCCTCGTCCATATGATATCCCATTTTCTAATCAGGTGTTGAAGGAACTGCACAGGATCCTGCCAGAGATTTATGGGCAAGGCTAAAATCCGTCCATTCTTCGACACTGAGTGCCCTTTGGGGGCCATCGTTCGTCTGGCTCTTATCTTTCCTATACGTACTCTCCCCCAACCCCCATAGCTCCATCTTGTCCACAGGATTTTGTTAGAAGCTGTCAGAATCCTTGCTGACTCAAGATGCATTGTGCTGAAGGGTTTCCCCTGATACACCACTCTAATAACCCTGTCAGAAAAAGAACTACGATTCATTTAGAACAGTGCTGGCCCCTGGGACTTGCCTCCTCTTCTAAGTGCTTATAGACCCCCCCGTTTAATAATCCATCCCAGAAATTTGCCAGGGCTCACTTTTAAGCTTGATGTTAGCAACTTTGAGAGAGCCCTTTTCTCCTCAATGGCAGGACCAGAACAGAGTGGCCTTTGTCCGTCCCCAGGCTCAACGTCCCTCCCACTCTCGCTGTGGACTTCGAGTAGAGTGATTATGTAACCACTGAAGGTCACTTCCACACCCAGGGGCAGGATGCGGCTGTGGTGGGAACTGGAGTGAATTAAAACAGCGTGTGCTTGAGTGCCCTTTACAGTGGACTGAAACCCCTCTCCCTGCTGGAAAAGAGGGAGCATGCGTGGGTTGGGTGGTTCTGCTTTGTCTTGCTGCAAGGAAACGGTGCCCTCCTTTGTCCCATCTGGACTGCTGCCGCCCTGAGACCAGTCTGTCAAGAAGAACTAAGCTGCTCTGGGCGCCTGCTCGTACCCCAGCCCTGCCACCTCACTGAGCCCCTGCATGTGAGGAGCCAGGAGTAATCAGGGCAGACGTCATTAGGGCACGGAGACCCCTGGGTTGTAAACTTGGCTGGCTGGGTGAGTCTTCTGGGGGCCAAAACCTTCTAGAGTTGGTGGCAGTGGTTTAGGAAGGTTGGGCCAGATTTCTGACTGTTCATTTTAACCTTCAGAGAAATCCTCTGACCCCAGAGGCAGTGGGCCCCTCTGCCATCCCACCTTATCCTCCTGCCTTCCTCATGCCTGACCTGTGCCTCTGCCCACCCACCCCCCACCCCTGCCCATGGCTTCTCACTCCTCACATGCACACGCTCTTGCTGGGTGACAGCTGAGAGCTGACCACCCTCAATGTGGAGCGTGGTGGTCGTGGGCAGGGGCTGGCATTCTCGGAGGTAGGGGAGCTGCAGGAGCGATTGGTAGGATGCTGCAGCGCATGTTGGTCGGAGTTAACTTTGCAGGGAGAAGAGCCTTGCTGTAGCCAAATGACGGGGAAGGCACTGTGAGGCTGGCGTGCAGTAAGCATAAGGCTCATGGGTTTCAGTCATTTGGTAACCGTAGAGTGAGCCCCTACCAGGCGCCAGGCACCGTCCCAGGCTCCAGGAACACAGCAGGGGGCCAAACAAGGCCCCGAGCCCCTGGAGCCCCTGGAGCACACACAGGTGACAGAGGCCCGTGTCCAGCACATCATGGAGGAAGGTGAGGCAGGGGAGGGCTGGCACGTGACAGGTGTGTCTGTAGATTCCATGGTCAGGAGGGCTTCCGGGAGGAGGGGATGTGGTGGAGTGAGGGAGCCGGCCACGTATGTCTGCGGAGACGGTGTTTTATTGGGAGCAAAGGCCATGAGACGGGAATGCATTTGGCACGTTCAGGGGATAGCAGGCAGCTGGTGTTGCTGAGTGTGCCCTTCATCTGGGGGAGGGAAGCAGGTGGGGAGCAGACCACCAGGAGCCCTGTGCGCTGGGCCAGGCCTCTGGATTTACCCAATGAGCGTTTGCTCTGTGGAGGCGGATGTCCTCAGCAGCGGTGGCCTTCCCTCAGCCTGGCTGAGCTCTTGGCCTCTTCTGCACAGAGACAGCTTTGTCTCCTTCATGTGACCGTGAGGGATGATTGAAACGCTTGCCAGATGTGAATAGCTGTGCACATACATGTAGGTAGTGACAGTTCTGTCTCTCTGCGTCCCTGTGCTGAGGCTGGAAACTCCTGGGAGGCCAGAACCATGTTCCTTTAGACGGCATGGACAGGTGCCCACTCAGGGACAGGCATCCCTACCCAGTGCTCCAAGGAACTCAGAACAGTTAAATCCTAGGCCCTTCAGGTTGGATAACCCCTGTAGAGGCCACCTGAACAGCACCATGATCATCCCCAACAAGCAGGTAACATCGTTTTAAGAGCCCCTGACCAAGACCCTGGCTTTGCATGTCTGCTGTTGGAAGCAGGAGGCTATAGGGGTTGGGGACAGCCCCCAGCCTCTGTAATCTTTTCTGTGGCAGAATCTCCCAGCGTGTAGAGCTGAGCCGGAGCCAGCTGCAGGCCATTGGGGAGAGGGTCTCCTTGGCCCAGGCCAAGATCGAGAAGATCAAGGGCAGCAAGAAGGCCATCAAGGTACCCCGTGTGGCCCTGGGGCCCGTGCCTGGTGGGCCCTCTCCCCGTGCCCCTGATGTTGCGCAGGCCCCATCCCTGCTGTCCAGCCGCACCTTGGTCTTACCTCCTGCCTGCCAAACAACCCTATGCTTTCTGTAACCTCTTGGGACCCTCAGACTTGTCCCTGTGTCCACAGGTATTCTCTAGTGCCAAGTACCCAGCTCCAGAGCGCCTGCAGGAATACAGTTCCATCTTCACAGGTGCCCAGGACCCTGGCCTGCAGAGACGCCCTCGCCACAGGATCCAGAGCAAGCACCGCCCCCTGGACGAGCGAGCCCTGCAGGTCTGATGGCCACACACTCGCCACACATTGGGAGGCCCCAGACACTGGGAGGAACTGAGGGCCCACCATGGCGTGCCGTCCCCTCAGAGGTTTTTGATTGGGATGTGGTGGGCGTCAGTTTGGCCTGGCACTGAAATCCACCATCCCTCTGTCACCTCCGGCCCTCCCCCCAGGAGAAGCTGAAATACTTCCCTGTGTGTGTGAGCACCAGGCTGGAGCCTGAGGATGAGGCCGAGGAGGGGCTCGGGGGTCTTCCCAGCAACATCAGCTCCGTCAGCTCCCTGCTGCTCTTCAACACTACTGAGAACCTGTATGGCCAGAAGGCGGCCGCGGGGACATGGGGGGAGGCCTGGCCTGGCTCAGTGGGAGCCCTGGGGGCAGCGTATCGGGAGGCTGGGAGCCAGGAGCTGGCCGGTTTGGCTTGGCTTGTTAGGCCTGGGAATCCACAGTGCAAATAGTGCTCCCTGATGAAATGGGAGAGGGAGGTCGGGAACACGGTTTAGAACAGAAGATGATGGATCATCTGACCCCCACCCCACCCTTGTAGGTACAAGAAGTATGTCTTCCTGGACCCCCTGGCTGGTGCTGTAACAAAGACACACGTGATGCTGGGGGCAGAGACGGAGGAGAAGCTATTTGACGCACCTCTGTCCATCAGCAAGAGGGAGCAGCTGGAGCGGCAGGTGGGGGGACACGAGGCTGGGGGGGGAGGCAGCAGCAAGTGAGGAGCGGGTACTGCAGCCCTGTTCTCAAGCCCCCACTTACATCCCTCACTTAATCCTGCAGGTTCTAGAGAACTACTTCTATGTGCCAGACCTGGGCCAAGTGCCCGAGATCGACGTGCCATCGTACCTTCCCGACCTGCCTGGCATCGCTGACGACCTCATGTACAGTGCCGACCTGGGCCCCGGCATTGCCCCGTCTGCCCCTGGCGCCATTCCAGAGCTGCCCACCTTCCATACAGAGGTAGCTGAGCCTTTCAAGCCAGGTGAGCTGGGAGCGAGGGGGGGAGTTAGGCCGGGGAGCTCCCCTACCCGGCCCCCTTCTTCCCGAGGCACCATATATCTTCTCACACTGCTGTTTCAGACCTAGAAGATGGGGTGCTGACAGCACCCCCACCACCGCCACCGCCCCCTCCACCTCCCCTGGCTCCTGCAGTGATGGACAGTGGCCCCCCGCTCCCACCCCCGTCACAGACCGTGGCCTCTGCAGGCCAAGGCGCCGGGGAGGACAGCAGCGATGGCAGCATGTCTCCTGCAGGTAGGAGCAGCCTGGGGCAGGGTTGGTCTCTAAGGGCACCTCTCCCTAACTTCAGCTTCCCTGAAGGATTTCCTATCGGTTTGTTAAGTGGTCATAAATCTTAGATTTTCAGAATAGTTCTCATTTTAATTATGTTGTTCCACTGAGTTCATAAAATAGTTTTCCAACTGTGCCTTCAGAGCTTTGGAATTCTCACCTCCAGGGACAAGTGGGACTCTGGGTCCCCCTCTCCCAATTAAATCAAAGGAAAAAAGGGATCTACTAAGAAATTTAAAACCACAGCAACAAAATATTCCGTGTTCCTGGGATTACAAAATTTCATTGTTAATATTGTATCTCCCAGCCTGTGTGCAGCATCAGACCTGGCACAAAAACCCTTTGTTGGCTCATGTGTCAAGCTGAGACACTGTCAGAACATCAGTAATTCACAGGGTCCACCTTTGCAGGGTGGCACTTAATCAGGTGGGGGTTGGAGAGGGACCAAGACTGGTCCTGGGCACAGACTCCTGAGCTTGGTGGCTAGGAAGTCAGCATCCAGGCCCCAGACAGTCTCCAAAGGGCCAGTGTCACCTGCTGGCTTCCTCTCAAGAGGAGACACCCTCCCGCACAGCCAGGCTCGAGGCTTCGCTCTGACCTTAGACCCACAGCCCAGCCCTGCCCGAGCAGCCTTTCCTCCTTGTACCCTTCCCCTCCTCCTAGCTCTAGTCCAGGGAGCTCCCAAGGAAGTGGTTGACCCCTCCAGCGGCCGGGCCACTCTACTGGAGTCCATCCGCCAAGCTGGGGGCATCGGCAAAGCCAAGCTGCGCAGCGTCAAGGAGCGCAAGCTGGAGAAGAAGAAACAGAAGGAGCAGGAACAAGGTGAGGGGACGCTGGACCTTCTTCAGCAGGAGGGCTCTAAGCAAAAGGGCCATCTTCCCTCCAGCAGAGCCCATCAGAGTGCTCTCTGCCCTCCCCACCTCAGGTGGGGCCAGCCCCCAGCCAGTCTGCCCAGTGTTTTCCTAGGGTGCTTGCTCGAAGCCCTCAGTGCCACCCCTGCCATCCCCACTCCTCCTGCCTGGGCCTAGGGCTCCTTCCTGGTTTTGGAGCCTGCTTAGTGGAGCTTTCCTCTCTAAGCTCACCCAGCTCAAACTGTGACCAAAGAATTTTCTCAAGACTCTGCCAAGAGTTGTCTAAGGAAATGGTCAGGGGGCCACAGATATTTTTAGAAACAGAGACCTGATTAGCTCAGCCCTTCTATAAGCCTCTTGAGGCTAGATGAGTCTGCTGTGAATCCGAAACACTGGCACCATGTAGTACCTGTGCATAAAGCAGCAGTGCCTGGGCCGGCCCGGTGGCACACTGGAGAGTGCACCACTTGGGAGTGCAGCGGCGCTCCCGCCAAGGGTTCGGATCCCATGTGGAGACCGGTTCCCGCTCCCTGGCTGAGCGCGGTGCGGGCGCAACACCGAGGGTTGCGATCCCGTTACCAGTCAGTAAAAAAGACAAAAAGGAAAAAAAAAAAAAAAAAAAAAAAAAAGCAGCAGTGCCTGGCAGTCAACAGTCCTGAGTTTGCCAAGGCCCAGCTCTGCTTCTGACTTGTCCTGTGAGACAAAGTGCCTAACGTCTTTGGGCCAGTTTCCTCATCCCCACAGTGGGGCTGCACACCTGCCCGTGTCTTACAGGATGGCCGTGATGTTCACCATTTTCTTATAGTACCCACTGCCAGATACACGGACAGACCAAAGCTCCCAGAGCTCATGGTGAACATGTGGCTGTGGAGAGGGCTGGGGACTGTTGCAGGGGCAAGTGAGCCAAGAGGGCACTGGCGACTGGGCCTGGAGCCTCCCGACTTGGCCCCCGCACCCTCCCACCTGCAGCTTTCCTCTTGCAGTGAGAGCCACAAGCCAAGGTGGAGACCTGATGTCAGATCTCTTCAACAAGCTGGTCATGAGGCGCAAAGGTAGGAGGCAGAGGGGCCGCCTTCAGGGCAGGGGCCTCAGGGTGTCCTGCAGTGTACTTCTGTTCTGCCTCTTTCTTCCTGTTTTTAAATCTTCAGGGGCTGTGTGACCTGGGGCCTCCATACACCCTCCCTCACAGCCTTTTCCCTTCCAGGTATCTCCGGGAAAGGACCTGGAACAGGGGCCAGCGAGGGGCCAGGAGGAGCCTTCGCCCGAATGTCAGACTCCATCCCGCCTCTGCCTCCCCCACAGCAGCCACCGGGAGAGGACGAGGATGACTGGGAATCCTAGGGGTCTCAGCACTCCTTCCTCCCCCAACCCAGACTTGGGCTGTGGCCCTGAGACAGACACAGCTGGGACAGCCCCCTTGGTGAGACAGGGATGGTGCAGGACTGCCCTACGTCTGTGCTGGGCCTTCTTCAGGGAGCGGGTAGGTTGCATGAAACCATAAGTGTGGGGTGGGAGGGGCTCGCTCTCCACCTGTGCCCCACCGTGTGCCTGCTCTACCCACCCCTTCAGCGTGTGCTCCTCTTCCCGAAAGAGACTCGAAGAAAACAGCACCATGAATCAATAAAGGACGATGTAAGAACTGAGCATAAACCAACAGTGCACTTTTAATTAAGGAGTCAAGGCTGGGTGGCTTGCAAACATCTGAGAACCAGTGACTGTCCTGCCCCGTGGGTCTCCAGGCAATGGGGCAGAACATCTGAGTGGACCAGGGCCCCTTGCACTGGCTCGAAGGTGCAGTCAGCAGGGGCAGCTGCTGTGGATGGGAGGGAGGGAGGGAGATGTTCCCACGGGATAAAGATGTCTCAGTGACAGACATGGGGTCTCTAAAAATAGTTGTGCTGAGAGCCTAATGGCCCTTGGCATAATTGCTGATGTCAGGGTAGAAGGTGTCTTGGAGTTTGCTCAAGTGCCTGAGAGGGAAGGAGGTGCCATCAACTTGGAGGAGGAATGGGAGCCAAGCCAGAGAGAAAAGCCCTGCGCGGAGCTGTGGAGCAGACCAGAGCACAGCTGAGGCTGGCAGGAGGAGCCGTGTGGACAGCAGAACTAGAAATGGGGAACGTTTTGAGTGTGAAATGTCTAGAACAGCTCATTTTAGCTAGGATGAACAGAGGCAGGATGGGCCTGTTTCCATCGGACCTCTGAGAAGGTGGCTACTGAGAAAACATGCAGGACAGAAGCTGCAGCAGAACACCGGGCAGGAGCCTGGCGCGGCCAGTGTGGCCACACTAAACAGGGAGGAAGATGCAATGGCAGGGAGCAGCTGCCCTGCAGTGGGCTCAAGGGCAGTCAGGACCCACTGTTTACTCAGGATCAACCTAGTTTTCTCCAACTGGCTTTTCTACCTGGGCCTGCATGCGGGCAGCCCACTGATGCTGGAAGGGGGCTGGTCTGGACCTCACACTCTACACCTGGTTTCACCTTCTTAGGCAGGATCCCTGTAGACCAGGCCCAAGACAAACACCATTCTAAGTGGGCAGGGTAAAGGAAGAGCCCGGGCTGGTGCAGCCATCCATCAGGAACGGCCAAACTTCTCCCGATGAAACTGGGGAGATGGGAAAAGGCAGTGAGAGACTAGATCTCAGGGTGAGCAGGCTCGGGGGGGAAGGAAAAGGCAGGACTGACCTTACGCATAGCAGCAACAGCATGGCCAAAGGTGGCCTTGACCTCCACACGGTCTCGGATCCAGCCTGGCAGCTTTGCCAGGATGGGTGGGCGGGCATATCGCTGGTCTAGGAGCACTATGCTGGCAAAATCCCTCTGGTGCCTGATGGCTCTGCCTGGATGGGAACAGAATTTGGGGCTCCTAGGTAAAATCCTCTCCTGTGACTTCATTCTCCAACCACCCATCTGTACTCCCAACTATCCATCCTGACAGCCAGGAGCAGTCCCAGGCTTACCTATAGATTGGTTGACAGCCTTCATACACAGATTCTCCACCAAGGCCTTCCCTGGTGGGGGCTGGCCTGGGGTTCTGGGCTGGGAAGGGTAGAAAGGACCTATCAGAACTGTTCCTTACCTCCTGTCTAGTGTTCTAGCTCTCCCTGGGAGAAGAGCCTGCCAGGCTTTGGAGCAAGACCAGGCAGCTTCACAAGCCAGTGCCAGCAGCTGGCACGATGTCATGGAGAAGGTCAAGAGGGGGACAGGAAACACCAGCATGGCAAGGAAGTCACAGCTACAAGACCCTGCTATCTCAGCCTAGGGAATACACCACACTTCCCCCCGGCCCTCTCCTCATCCTCTGGAATCCTGGAGGTACTCACAAGGGTCTGATCCAAGTAGGTCATCTTCTCTTGTAGTTCTGGAGAGTTGATGTTGGGGTAGGGCATGCCCACCATCACTACACACCTAGGTGGAGATGCACGCCGATGGGCATGTGGCCTCACACTCACTGAGTCCTCACCCACATGCCACCGACTGCTGCTCTACCTCTGCTGCCGCTCTTGGCTATGCTCGGCAGCTCTACCCTCCGCATCCCGTACCTACCACCTGGAAAGGATTTTTTCAGCTAAGAGACCCAGTCTAAGCCAATGAACATAGTCCTGATAAGGTTATGGTTTGCCCCATTTTCCATCTGCTCTCAAAGGCCCAATCCAGAGTTGCTGAAACACTTCCCGCCTGGCTGCCTGATCCTGAGCAGCCAGCCTGGGTGCAGACTCAGATGGCATCAGATTGCAGGTGGGGCCCAGCTGCTGGAAGTGAGGAGTAGCCAGGTGTCATAGCCCCAGGAGAGAAGGAGAGGACCACTACTTACCGGCCTAGGTTGTCAGAGAAGTTAATCCCTTCACTCATCTTTCCTCCAACCACAGAGAGGAGCAGGGCCCCCGTCACCTTGCCGCCCGCCTGGCCACAGCACTGCGGGAGATACCCATCCCAGAGCTGCTGAGCAAGGCTTGGCCACCACCCAAACTATTTCCAGCTGCCAATCCCACATGGTCTCTGGAGCCAAGCCTCAGAGTCACACACCTCGTTTACACACTGGGAGTACTCCAGCAGCACCTGCTCCACCTGGTTTGCTCTCTTGGGCTCCTGAAATATCTAGAGGTACAGAGAGTGTCTCCCAGCAAAGGGTTTCAGAACGGGGGTCTGAGGTCTGCTCCAGGCCCGTGCTGTCTAGCCTGGCACTGGAGAACCTCAGTCAGGGGCTTTGGGCAAATCCTCTGGAAAGGGATCAGGGACTGGAAGTGGTAAGGAACCAGGAGAAGCCCAGCTATCCTGAGTTGATGAGCATGAGAAATCCCAGGCGGGACTCTGGTGGCACTGTCCTCAAGTGGGGGGTCTGGCTGAAGGACCACTCACCTTCTTCCTGGCAGCCAGGCGGCCCAGCAGGCCACTCTTGTCCCAGTGGGCATGCACCTGGCGCTGGTACTCATAGGAGGGAAAAAAACAGACCATCCCTCCAGGGACCACATTGCACAGGTTGCAGAGAATACGGCCTGTCTCACTCATCTGGGGAAGGAAGACAAGGAGCCCCCTGTGGAGCAACCCCTGTAGCCACACCCACAAATGGCTTCCTAATCTTGGGGCTCAAAAGCAAGGACAGAGACCCACAGCAGGACTATGGCCAGGGTGGGAATCCCCGAAAGGAATGTGCCACCCTCCTATCACACACACCCAGCTGAGGCTTCTGGTGACTGCCTGCCTTTTTGAGTGACACACGCCCCATTGCCAGCACCCCAGAGTAAGACCTGTCACTGCTACGCCATGGAGGCCACACTTCTCCAACTCCCCATGTCCTGATGGGCATTGTCTATGGCAAATCAGGCACTGAACACCTCAGGCATGTCACAGAGGTGTGCCCAAGAGCTGCACCCCTGCCCAAGGCAGGGGCTGGTACAAGCAAATGCCAAGAGAACCAAAGGGAACGGGCAGCTTCCTGCTGCATGCTGTCCTGCCGGAGGCGTTAAGAAAACTTACTAAGATGCCCATGGGGAGGGGCGGAGAGCAGCTCAGACCGCCCTTGATAAGCATCTAGACGGATCCTCCGCATCCTGTGCTAGCTCTGTGATGGCTGCCCCGGTACTAATTTCCCCAACCCAGGAAACCTCCCAGCTGCCCTGGCCCAGGCAGGGGCTGGGGCTGACCAGTTCAGGCAGCAGTCTCTTCTGGTACGTGAACTCCAGCTGCTGGTCAGAGGGCCCGCTGCAGATGACCAGGGGCAGGATGTTGTCTGGAGGGATCACATGACCTGGAGGATCAAGGGAAGAGCTGAGAACTGGAGGTACAGACTGTTCTGCAAGGGAGAGTCCAGGAAGAGCACTTCCCCAGCCCAGACCAGGAAAGGCAACTGATTCATAAGCCCACCCATTGCCACAATAAGACCTGCCCCCACCGCCCCTGCAGACGGTGGGGCACAGAGTGTGGCAGTGGGGGGAGGTGAGCTCGTGAGAAAGCCAGCAGAGTCAAGCCTCCCTCCTGCCGTCTCCTCAGCCCCAGCCTGGTAACAGCACGAGGGGCTCGCTCCGCCCGGGTCACACTCCTCACCGCAGGAGAACTCCACCACTCGCTCAGCCTCAGCCCCAGCGCACGCCAGCAGCTGCTCCCGGAAGTCAGACACCTGCAGACCACAATGGCAGGGCCCTGTGACCTCCCAGAGGCACAGGGGAGAAGAACCTCAGGCCTCGGCATGGAGGGCAAGACAGAAGTCTGGGCTGGAAGGCAGCAAGTACGTACAAACAGAAAAAAGAGCTAAAAAAAAAAAGGCTAACAACAAATTAACAATAATAAATAAATTGTTAATGATATCCAGTGTTGGCAGTTTCATTTAAGCTACTGGTAGAAACAGCAAAGGAAATCTGGCAAACTTGGCACAGTGATTCTCAACCCTGGCTATGCATCAAAACCAGCAGTGGGAATTTAAAAAAATACACATGGCCCAGCCACAGTCCAAACTACTGAATAACAATCTCCAGGGTTTTCACCTACCAAATTGGCAAATCCGAAAGTTTAACCACTCTGTGGAGAAAAAGGCATTTTTAAACATTGCTGGTGCAATACAGAATAGTACAACTCTTACATAGGGGAATTTGACAATACTTAACAAATTAAATGGATTTTTACTTTTTAACTCAGGAATCTCATATCTGGGACTCCACCCAGAATACACAGCCCACATGTACTAAGTAACACACACACAGGATTTCTCTTGTGTAGTAAGACTGCCAGTCAAGAGGGTACTGGGTGACTGAGCCAAGCTACTCCCACCCAACGAGAACCACGCAGCCAGCTATAGAAATGCAGCTCACCCTACACACTAACATGCACTGATCACCAGAACACACCGCAATGTAAAAACTAACTACTGTAACTCTGATGAAAATAAAAAAGGAGGGGAAAAATGAATACACAGACTTGCTTATTTTTGCAAATAATAATAATAATACTGGAAAGACAGACTAGTGGCTAATAAAAATGATTACCTATGGAGGTAGGGAACAGGCTGGAGACAGACGGAAGTGAGACTTTACTGAATATATCTTTTTATACAGTTTTGACTTTCGAACCACACAAATGTTTATTTTTTTTAAATGATTAAGTAGAAAAAAAAAAGCAAATTCTAAAACTGAAAACAAAGAAAGCCTAGCTATGTATCAAACTAACAGCATAAGCAAACAGAATTTCATCTGATTGCAAGTGACTTTACATCCTATAACCATACATCTTTAGTGGGATATATTCCAAGGGCAAAAAGTAAATGCAAAGAAATTAAACTTCAGTCAGATTTATTGTTAGAAGTAATACTGGTATTGTAATTTTGAAACTATTTTAAGCATATTGTGGGACAGACAAGATAATTAATTATGTTAGTGTAATAGGAAACCAAATGTTCATCTTAAGAGAAAAAGATACACAATGCATGGTCAAATTAATTATTTAATTTTTATTTACAAATATCAATATGGCGGGCCGGCCCGGTGGCGCACTGCTACAGTGCGCCGCTTGGGAGCGCGGTGGTGCTCCCGCCGAGGGTTCGGATCCCACATACAGACCGGTTCCCGCTCACTGGCTGAGCGAGGTGTGGGAGCAACACCGAGGGTTGCGATCCCGTTGCCGGTCCCGGTCCGGTACGGGCGCGACACTGAGGGTTGTGATCCGTTGCCGGACACGAAAAAAGACCAAAAAAAAAGAAATATCAATATGGAATCATGATTACTGAAAACATATTTCCTAAGTCTGTCTACTGAAATGCCTGTAAACAAGTGATAATTCAGGAGTAATGTGCACCCCTAGCACCCAGACTTGATTTCTAAATATCATCCCCCATTATGGGCCGGCCTGGTGGCGCACTGCTACAGTGCGCCACTTGGGAGTGCAGCGGCACTCCCGCCGAGGGTTCGGATCCCACATACAGACCGGCCGCTCACTGGCTGAGCGAGGTGCGGGTGCAACACCGAGGGTTGCAATCCCGTTGCCGGTCCCGGTCCGGTACAGGCGCGACACTGAGGGTTGCAATCCATTGCCGGTCACGAAAAAAGACAAAAAATAAATAAATAAATAAATAAATAAATATCATCCCCCATTAAAAGAAACCAAGGCACCTTGGAGAAACGAATGATCCCAGCTCGGGGACAAAGAAAGTATGAGGCGAGCCTGGATGTTCTGTGGTGCCAGGATGCAAGAATGAAGGGCCACATCAAAAGGACCAGAGGCAGCAGGCGGGGGTTCCCATGGACCATGTTTGAGACCATTTGAGCATCAAAAACAACAATGACTATAAACAACTTTAATACACTGAATGAATAAAAATCTATGAACCTCTGCACAAAAGAGAAAAACAGAAAAAAAAAAAAAAGCTACATGAACGATTTTAACAGGAGCTGAAGCTGAGAACCACCACTTCAGGATTTCCAAGAGCCTTTTTTTTCACCAAGTCCTTTTCTAGGAGGAATCCTAAGCAAACAATCACTGTGCAGAGATTTGGTTACATTTATCACAGTATTTATTGTTTAAAACAGAGAAGACCTGGAAATAGCCTAAATATCTAACAAAAGAAGAGTGACTGCATAAAATACGATAGAATACGGCACAGCCAGAGTAGGGCAGAACAAATGCGTCCTTGCTGACAAGGAAAAATGTTTATGACATTTTGTTGCTGAGTAAAAAAAGTAAATTATAACAACAGCAGGTAGGAATAATACCATTCTTGTTTTGTCTTTAAAATATGCATGTACATATGTAAAAATTATGCGTAGAAAGACTGTTATGATGATATATACCAAAACGAATCTTTTGTTGATGGAATTATCTTTCTCCCTGCCCCCCACCCCCATTTTTGTTTGTTTCTGCTTTCTACAATGAAGATACAATAATTTCTAAAATATGTACATATTAAAACAAAGTTCATAGAAGAGAGAGAAGGTTGTTATTTCTATGATGGGTACAGGAAGGGAATGGCTTTGAGGCACCTAAATGAGAGTATGAAACTAGAGAAAGCTTTCTCTGGGAGAAGTGCACTCCCACGGCTACAGAAATACAGAGCAGGGTTGGGGGGATGCCCCTCTGCCCCCCACCAGCCTAAAGGCACAGGCAGTGAGATGGTACACCAGCGCCACCTGATGGACACTGCTGGGCCTATTCGAGCCCACCCCTTTCCAGTTGGGGACCCTCAGGACCCCCATCACTGTCCCATTCCACACCTAGGGCACAAGAGGCTGGGGCTGGGGTCCTTACCGGCTGCATGGTGCCCCCTGCAATGACCACTGCCCGGCATTCCTTCACCACCTGGGCAAAGTGCATGGCTGGATTCAGGAGCAAGAATTTGAGGCTGCTCTGACTGAGACTGCCTGAAAAAAGGGCAAAGATACATGCAGAAGGGTGGGTACAGGCCCAGCAAGTGCCCTACCATGAGCCAGGGGTCTCCAGTTGGGTCCACGTGCGAGGTACTTTCTCTCCACACTGAATCCCATTCCATCTCCAGGACAGCCCTCTGAGGTAGACAGTACAGGCTCAGTATCCTTTATCAGAGAGGCTGGGACCACAAGTGTTTCGGATTTCAGATTTTTGGGGATCAGGGATGCTCAACCTGTACTATCATCTCCCTTTTCACATGGGGAAACTGAGGTTCAGAGAAAGAGAAACTGGTCCAAGTCACTCCTAGCTGATGAAGCCAAGACCAAAGTCACCTAACCTGAATTGCGAGACTACAGAGCTACTCTAGTAACTGTGCCCAAGAGGACCCACATCCCAGCCCCTCTACATCCCCTCCCCACCACCTCCACTGTTTGCCCCAGTCCTGGGAGGCCAGTTCTCATGCCCGTTTCCTCCTCCCAACCTAGGGCAGTGTCAGGATGGAAATAAAGACTCCTATCCTGCTTGGCTCCCGGGCTCCAGGCTGGCTCCTGCTTGGAAACTGAGCCCGGCCAGTGAGCACCTAATCAATTACCTTGGCGGCTCAGGATGACCCTGCCGTCCTGGTTGGCAGTGGTGAGAGCCGCTAGGAAGCCTTCAATGTGCATCAGCGGGGAAGCAGGCCGTGGGGCCCTGGCCTCAGCCTCCTCCACAGGGGCTGCAGGAGCTGCACAGAGCAGGACAGACAGGAGGCCCCCCTGAAGTCGACTCCTGTGTGAGGAAGGAGTACCCTTGCCCAGGCCTGCAGCAGGTCCCTTCCCACCCTCCTGACTCACGCTCATTCACCCCAGGCTGCAGGCTCTGCAGGAAGTGCTGAAACCCAGCCAGTTTGGGCTGCTTCTGAGAGGAAGAGAGGACTGTTCCATAGCGTTCTGTGAAGCCAAAGAGCTGGGGTGGGTGAGAGAAAGGGGTGGACAGGAATGAGGAGCAGAGGCGAGAGGGAGACCACCTGGACTACAGGCTCCGCCAGGCCCCAGCTGGCCTGCAGTGCCCTCCCTCCACACCCCAGCAAAGCCACTCTGCACTGAGGAGAGTAGGGACAAAGGTAACCATGAATTCCCCAAGGGCAGGACAGGGAAAGGCTGTACGTTGGCAGGTAAGGGCGCCGCTGGACCCCTCCCAGGCCACAGGAAAGCAGGTACCTTTCTGCTGACCATGCTCTTCTCGCAGTACCGCTGCACCTGCGAAACCAAACCCTGCTGCAGGTGCGTGTGAAAACTGAGCAAGCTGTCATCTGGATTCACAAAACGCCAGCCATCTTCCACCAGCCCAGGGAGCATAGCTCACTACAACCTCCCAAGGAGCCCAAAGCCCCCTGCAGCCAACCACGTCCATCTCCTCCCTGAGGTCACCCCTTCTGCTGCCCCACATGTGATACAGTGCTCTCCCATGAGGAGGCTCAAACAGGCCCCAACACAAACATGTCTTTAAGGCTCTGAAGTCTCGCTAAGGTGCTCCATCAAAGTTTTGTCCCCTCTGCTTTCCTCCCAGGTGAAAACGTCTAGGATAGACCTTGAAGAATTAAGCGCTCATTAAGCAGCACCCTACGCACTACAGCATGAGGAGGTAAAGCTGGGCTGCAGTACAGTGTAGCTGGTGTGCACACCATGTGTAGTCTGGTGCCACATCTCCACTTGCAATGCCCAGAAGATGAGCATGGAGCCTTTAATACCTTCTAAAAAGAGTGACATCCTTCAGTGCAGGTTCACCAGACCGTCGATGGTAAAGGACATCAGAGGGAGGGGGAGAGAACGAAAGCACGGGGACCAAAAAGAAGGCAGGAGGAAAAAGACCTGGAGCCATAGCTGCGGGAACATGAACCGGGATAAACTCAAGAGCTGTTGCGAGCTACTGGGCCTGGCCGTCATCTGGAGTGGGACGCAACAGGCAAAAAAGCATGGAGGATGACTCAGGTTCCAGCCTGTCTGACGGGGATAATGGCGGTGCCAATGACCAAAACGGGTAAGTCGGGGGGAGGCTGGTTTGAAGAAAAAAGGCAGGGTCTGGAGTCAGTGCAGCTGGGTCGAATGCTGGCTCCGCATTCACCAGTGGGTCACTCGTGCATGGCCTGTGCACATCACCTTCCCGAGGTAACCCCCGAGCTCAGTTTCCTTTGTTCTCAAATGGCAACAGTACATCCTATCTCAGTCACAGAACCTGCCACGCTGCCTAGAACACAGTAAGTACTCTCTCCATGGAGGCAGTTACTGTCACTGATTTGGAGTCACTACATCAGTTAGCGGTGGTGGCTGCACTCCATCTGGGAGAGCGCCAGATTCAGGACGAGAGTAAGTGAAGTTGTGAGGCTGTGATCAAACCCAAGGCCAAGTGGGAAGGCGACAGGGTCGAGCAGAGCAGCCCCAGCCACGTCCTCACCCAGCTCAGCCCTGAAGTCAACTCCCTGCTTCTGTCCCAGAGCTGAGGGGAAAGACTGTGCCAGAAGAAAGGAGGCGATGAGGACCCAGGAGTCTGTGTGCCCACGAGCTACACAGAAAGGGGAACTTCACACCATCCCTGTGACCCTAGACTGAAGACTACTTTTTCTCACTGACACAGTGCCAAGTAATTACATAGTCTATGTTTTAGATCCTAAGACCCTGGACTGCTTAAGGACAGAAGGAATTTGCGTTTTACTCCTTCCAGTTTTTAACATAGTGCTCTGCTGCTGGTGATAAGAAGGAAACCTGATGTGCTGATACAAAAAGGTGAAAAACTCTACCTTGAACAGATTGATGTTGTCAACCTGGCTCTGAAAGAGAAAGGTGTTGATGGTCTGCAGCTCCGTCCCTAAGAGCAAACAAACGAAGTGCCTCAGGAGTCATGCCCTGAGCCCTGCTTCCAGCCCCAAAGGTTAACTCAGAAGCAGCTCAGAGCAGCACTGGGCCCGCGGAAAGCAACTCTCTTACCTGTCCGTGAGAGGATCTGTGTATTGGGATTTTGCTTAATATTCCCTAGAAAAATGAATTCATACATGTCGGGTTGGTAATCTTTAGGCCCCCAACTTCCCTATCTTCTCAGACTCCATACTGTGCTCATCAAATAAGAAGAGCATTCATATTTGGGCAGATCTGTGTTTGTGTGCCATTTATAGCATGCAAGGAACCTGCTGAGAGAGGAAGTTCTAGAGAAACGGACAAGCCTGACTCACATGTTTGCACAAGGACCCCAAAGACTTGCATCTCATTCTCTTCACACCTCCTCCAGGAGGCAGGGACAGAATGACACCCCGTTTTATGCAGGGGCACAAGAGCAAACAGGAGGTGCCTGGGCCATGTGGTGAGCCAGTGGCCGAGGCAGACATGGAAGCCAAGAGCACCAGCATAAAGACAGGATCCCTCCAGGGCTGGTTGGAGGCTCACCTGGTTAGAGTGTGGTGTTCGTAACACCAAGGTCAACAGTCTGCATCCCAGCGCCAGCCAGCCACCAAAGAAAAAACAAAAAGATCCCTCCAGAGCAATCCACCACTGGTTTTCTGTAACTTCAGCTTCTGTAAAGCCTTCGAAGTTGCCATACAATAAAAGGTATGTAGCGCAGAATAATGCAAAGCAGCATGGGATCTGGAGCAAGAACATTCTGCTCTTGCTGGGCTCACAAACCACAGGCAGGTTTATCATCCCTAAGTGCGGGTTACCACGCCTGTGCGGCTCACCTCACAGGAGCAGACGACACTGCACATGTGCAAGTGCAGAAAACCCCAAAGTCCGACAACTGCTCCCTAAGACGTTATGTGTTTGTACTGTAACATATCATTACTACCACCCTAGAGTAGGGGCTGGCAAAACAAAAAGGACTTAGAATGTGGGCTCTAAACAAGGATTCTAAAAAAGCCTCCTGAAGCCAGACAGCTCAACTAAACTATAAAGAGAATTTCCTAAATCAAGGACCAAGACAATCCTTAAGGACACAGAAAATCTAGGTGTCCTGACTGGCATCCAAGGAAAAAGCAGACCAGCAAGTTTTGCGGCCGGGGGTTAGCATGCAAATGGGGGTGCTGCTCTTACCACCTAGCACAGCCACAAACTTCTCCAACAAGTACAGGATCTGTTTAATGTACAGCAGATTCTTGGCCTTCAGACGCTTCCTGAGAAGGAACCAGTGGCCACGGAGACATGACGCGGTGGGGCGCCAATAGCAGCATCCCCTCCACCTGCCCCGGCTGAGGCCCTCTGTCTGGTGCCTGCGAGCCCAGGCCAAGCAGCGCATTGCTCCATCCCACTCTGAGCCGGGCAGAGTGGGGAACCCAGGGCTTCCCTCGGAGGCAGGCTTAGGGGCCGCTGAGGCTGAGCGGGATCTTCCCTCCCACGTCAAAGGGTAGCATCTCACCCATATCGTTCCATGTACTGGAGCAGCTGGGAATGGGCCTGGCAGAGCTAGGGAGCAGGGAGAAGGGTATGAGGGCAGACCAAGCCCTGGGCAAGCACCCGCAGGCCATGCCGTGCCGTGAAACTCAGACCACACCTGGAGGTGCCAGCCCAGGCCCCAAACAGACCAAAGCTATGGGCTGTGACAGCCCTTAGGCTGGCAGGAGCTGACAGGGGGGAAGGAAGGTCAGTTCTGCTCATGCCCACTTTGGGTCGGGGAAAAACAACAGGCTGAATCCCTCAGGCAATGAATCTCCCTGCTAGTTTGGGTTGGGGAGAGACACGTAGTCTACTAAGAGTGACGGTTCAAGGTGACCACCACATCCTAGCCTACGGTCAACCCAGGCACCAGTCAGGAGAGGTGATGGGATGTTGGGGGGGTCTAGCTCCACACTCATGAGCTATGTGACCTTAGGCACACTACTTAACCCTCTCTGAGTCTCCGAGTCCCCCGTGTAAAACAGGGACAGCACCCCCACTGTAGAATCAGTGTGGAGATCAGACACAGTGCGTGTCACATAACAGTAAGTAAACAGTAGCTTCTGGAGAGCCTGAGCATTCCTTTGACACTCCCTCAAAGCAGTATCAATAATAATATCCAGCCACAGGAGGACTCCCGCTCCTCTCATGCCACCATCCTCGGTTACAGAGAACTAGTTAGTGGCATCCTGAGCTGCAGCGACTCAGGATGACATGGGCAGGTGAAGAGTAAGGAAACAGACCACCCCACTGGAGCCAGTCCCCAGAGTTCCGAGACTTGCTGGGAAGCTGTGGTCAGCCTGAGAAGGCCACGACCTTGATTCAGTGCATCTTCCACCAAGCCCCATCTCCCAGGCCCAGGAAATTCAGAGAAATGACCTATGTCCCTTTGCCCTTCAGCACCCACCTGGGAGCCGCTGACCTCCACGCTGTGGATGCCTGTGATGGCATCGATCAGGTTGTGCGCCTCGTCGATGATCACCACCTGGCCCTGCAGCCGGATGCCTGCAGCCTGCCGGGTGGGTGCGTGCAGCAGCAGCTGGTAGGGCAGCACCACCAGCTGTGGGAGGAGACACAGCCCCCTGAGCAGTGGCGGGACATGTCCCACAGCACACCTGCCCGCCCTACTCTAGGCTCCAGATGTGGACCGTTTTATTTCCTGTCTGGACGATGTGCAGGGTCACTCAAGAGAGAAGGCTACAGCAGAAGACTGCACCTGCAGCCACACTTTCCTCACGTTTTACGTGCAATGTCAAATACACGAACAACACAGAACTGGAGTTGATCTGACTCCTGACTGAACCAAGGGTCGGGGTGGGAGAGCGGGACCCCCACAGCTTAGCCTTGTCTGAGCCCTCAAGGTAGCCTCTGAAACCAAGTTTCCTCAAAACACCATGAGAACCACTGATGTACCAGAATGCAGCCCCGGCTCCTGGTCCTGGAGCTGCTACTTCCCAGCTGTGAGACTCTGGAAAAGGTGTCTAACCTCTCTGACTCTGTTTCCTCATTTACAAAATGGGCTTGATAAACTCCATCTCAAATGAGGGTTAAAAAGTAGAAGGGGGGGTAACAGAAATAAAAGCTCCCTGTAAATTTTTAGGTATATGCTGTTATGAAGATTTTCCAGTTAAAAAAATGTACATTCAGAAAACTGGAAACTTAAGGCCCAGGTTTCAGAACTGGCTCCACCACTCACTCATGGTGAGAAAACAGATAATCACCTAACTCTTCTGGGCCCCCGGGTCCTCACGTGTGGAATGTAGCTATTTCAGTGAGACACCACAAAGGGAGAAATCAGGTGGAAGGTGCTTTAAAAGTTCGAGATTTTAACAATTTCAGGCCATCTTATTATTCATTGTATCTGTACATAAACAGCACTAACCTCACTCTGTGGCAAACAGAGCTGAGGAAGCGCGGGAGACAACTGCAAGGGTGGGGCCTCCCTCACTTCTCAGGGTGTTGCTGATGGGTGCTTGGCTGCCGTGCAAAATGACTACTAACATAGCTCCCTGCATCTTTTAAAATCTGCTTTTCAATCTTTTCTTGATTGTTCTGAATTCTCCACAAGTAATATGCTGTTTCCAAAAGTCACTCAAATTAAGGAAGTAGCAAGAAAACAGTCAGATCACATATACCAAATAACAATAAGATACCATTTTGGGCCTGTGAAATGGGCAGTTTTTTCTCTTTTTAAAGATACGGCATGTCCATCAAGGAAAACAGTACAGAGGTTTCTCAATTAACTACAGACGGAACTACCGCATGATCCAGCAATCCCACTACTGGGCATTTATCCAAAGGAATGAAAACCATCATGTCGAAGGGACAACTGCACTCCCACGTTTATCACAGCTCTATTTACAATAGCCAAAATATGGAACCAACCTCAGTGTCCATCGACAGACGACTGCATAAAGAAAATGTGGTACACATACACAACAGAATACTACTCAGCCAAAAAAAAGAATGAAACTCTGCCATTTACAGCAACATGGATGAGTCTAGAGAATATTATGTTAAGGGAAATAAGCCAGACAAAGAAACAGAAATAGCACATGTTCTCGCTAACTGGCTGCTAGGAAGGAAGCAAGGAAGGGTATAGGGGGAAGGAGGGAGGGAGGGAAGAAGGAAGGAATGAAGGAAAAAAAGAAAAGACCACAACAATACGTTGAACTTTCAGAAGGAGAGAACAAAACTAAGGACACTAGAGATGGGGGAGGTAGGGACGGAGGGAGAGGGTTTGGGAAGTGACAGGTCATGCAAAGGGCAAAAAGAAATATCATGATTTGTAAGAATGAATATGCTAATAATAAATTAAAATAAATACATTAATTCATTAAAGATACAGCATGTCTAAAGAAGACAGTACTCTCACATGCCACAGGCAGGTGTATAAGTTGGGACAGTCACTCAGAAAAGCCACTTGGAAATCCATTTACATTCTGTAGCTCCTTTACCACACTCCTCTAGGGCCCTGCCCTGGTGTTCTCTCTGTGGTCTCACTAGGAATACACTCTTCCCTGGCTCCTATCTGCTGTGTCCCAATAATGCCAATTGGCCCTGCAGCCCAGAGCCACCAGGGGACCCGCAGCTTCCTCCAGCCCTATGGACCAGGACAGAATGGGTTACGTGCCATCAGTATGCAGTGTGGCCATCAGTCCTCTCAGATTAAAATGAGGAATGAGAATCCCCTCAAGGCCCAGGCCACAGTTAGAGCCAAGAGCCACTTCCCAACCCTCCAGAGTCCTCACCTGGGCTGCGGGAATGGCAAACCGGCCCCCGTAATAGGGACAGGCCCGAGCCTCCTTCCCAAGGGTCACCAGCTGCTCAATGTCCTTCACCTCCACCAGCACCTCGTCCCGGAGGAGCTGCATCTGCTCGTGGTTGTAGAAGGGGCAGGCCGCCCGCTTCTCCTGCCTCCTCCTCTTTGGCTTCTCTTCCTCAGCCTTGTCCTTCTTCTCTGAGGGCAGCACAGGCACAAGGGGAGCAAAGACAGATAGGACGACTGTCTACAGGGCGAAGGGTGGGTCTTGTAAGGCTGAGACCCATTTCCATGGGGCAGGGTCTTGGAAGCCCTTCCGGGTACTGCTTACCATGGTGCCCTCACAACATTCTGAGTTTTACTTTACATTCTCCATACAGAACCTGGATCATCATCTCCAGGCCAGGGGTTTGGTCTAGACACTGACCCAAAAAGCCAGAACGCTTTTTCCCGCGGAGAAGGGCTTCAGGACGAAACCAGGGTCTGCTCTGCCATGATTTCTATTTGAGATACTCATAGTCTTGGTTGTGCATGTCCCTGGTGCAAGCCCGCCCGCCACAGTTCTTCTGTAACTTCCAGCCCTGCCCCACTCTCCCCAGCACTGCCCGAGGCCCCCCAGGTCTGGCAAACTACCATGCTTGCTTCTCTGCAGCTCCAAACAGCGGTCATTGATGAGCTGCACAGAACCCAGGTGTTTCACGTCTTCATTTACACAAAGGTTCTACAAGACAGGAGGACAAGAGAGGCGAAGAGATGCTGCTGGCTAAATAACACACAAGCAGCGCCCCTGGACCTACCTGCCCAGCCCCGCCCACCTCTCCTGCTTGCAAGGACCACCAAGCCCAGGGAACGGGCTGATCCTCCCCCAGCTCAGCCTGCCTCAGACCCATCGTCTTTGTCTGCCTGGGGACAAGGAAGACACAGGGAGGGGAGTGGACAGCACACAGCTGAGACATCTTGCCTCTGCTCACCTGCCGAGAGCCGAGGGAGACAAGTCGGATTTCCTTGCCAAAGGGGCTCTTCCGAACTTCATGCACAAACTGGGCCAGCTGGGAGTGAGTCCGACTACAGTAATAAATCTTCAGAGGAGAAGAGGGGACAGTAACACCCCAAAATACCCTATGCATGGAAGCATGCCACAGCCTAAGAGGCCAAGGGCACCGGGAAAGCGGCTGCCAGTGTGCAAACCTGAGCAGGACAGCCACACCCCACAACAGCTGGCACGGGGGACACCCACTTTAAACAGAAAAAAGAAGTCTAAAATGTATGAGACCAAACGTGTTTAAACCTGAGGCATGTCAGAACCACACGCACCTCACAGCACTACTGAAGGACACGCCATGAGAGGATCAGAAGGACACGCCATGAGAGGATCAGAGGGCAGCGCTCCTGCCCTCCTAGTGCTTGCCCCCAGCCCACCTAGTGCTTACTGCAGAAGGGCTGCCCCTCGACACCCTGGGCCAGTAAGCCCAGCCTTGGCCTTGCACCCAGGAGAGGTCTCTGCAGGGCCCGGCCCACCTGCCCAGCGAGTGACCGGAGACCAAGGTCTGGGTCTGGGAGCTGTGGAGGGCCCCGGCTGGAAGCTTGGCAGGAGGGGGAGAAGCAGCTACAGCGACTCTTGTGTCCCCCACAGAGTGGACAGCCCTGGACTCGGAATGCAGGAGCACCTGAGGACATGTGTCTCACCTTAGTGACATGTTCCTCCTCCAAGTCGTCCTCATCCTCATCCACTCTGAGAGAGAAACAGAGAAAAGTCTCCCGTCAGCAAACTCAGATCAACTACAGAGAATGACTAGCCCTGGACATGCAGTGATAAGTAAGCGAGATGGGGTCCCTTTCCTCAGAAGCCGAAGAACTGAAGTTTGAGTTCTGAGCAGAATGGAGACAAACACATGCCAGCACCGAGGTTCCCCTCGTTCAGAGACACCAGTCCCGCCTCCCGCGCCGTGTAGGTCTGTGGAGCACAGAGCAATGTGCAGAGAGAGGAGAAAGGGTTTCCCCACAGCCTGGGAGCCTCTGCTCAGTGTCTGACTTTGGCAGTCCCTGCAGGCCACTGTCCTCTCAACTGCCCACCCTCCGGCAAACTGGACTTCTCCCAAATCCCCAGGAGAACTTTGCTCTCTGTCGCCCCAGGGCCTTTGGACACGCTATCTTCTTTGCCCAGAAGGCTCTCCCCTCACCTCGCCAAGTTTTGGTCAACTCTAAGATTGCAGCATACACATCCCCTCCTCCAGGCAGCCTGCTGTGACCTCCTCCCTGACACTCCCCTGGCTCCCGCACCTGTTCTCTGTAACACCCATCTCACCCAAAACCACTTGTTCTTAGTCTGTCTCCCCACATCCGCAGGGCAGGAACCGGGTCTTTCTAGTTCCTGCTGAGTCCTCAGGGTTCCACCCAGAGCCTGGCTCACAGCAGGAACTCCATGCATGTTTTCTGAGTGAAGCCACCACCTACCAACTGAGTGAATAAGAGACGCCAATGCCATCACTCACAACCAGACCAACCCCTTCTCTTCTCAGTCTGCCCTCTGCAGCAGGGAAGGGAAAGCCCACCAGCATGGGGGCCTGCGAGGGGAGCGCACCCGGCATCACATGCCCTAACACTTAGCCAACGCCCTCCTACAGACATACGCCACCTGCGGAACATCACATGGGATAAGCTTTTCTGTTCACCTCAGAATCCAATTTTTTAAAAAATCAGGTATGCAACTGCCTCATCACTTATACAGCTGGCTTCATGGTCAGTTGCCTTTGACTCAAAGGCTTGGACTCAAATCCCATATCACGTGCTGGACAAAGTCAGCAGGAAGTGGGTGCGAGGGGGAGCACAAAAAGAAATGAAGAGCAAAAATTTGCATTCAGAACTCAGAGGCGCCTGTCTCTCAAAATACCAGGGCATGGGGAGCTGTGGAAGCTAAACTGTCGGGTTAATGGCTTTTGCCCGAACCCTAAGGAGCACTTTGCCCCCGTTAGTCACGAACCCACTCAAATTCTTCCTCGTTTCCAGGAGTCCTGGAGAAGTGATCTCAGGGTGGGTGGGAAGGGCGTACTAAGGGTCACTCTGTGCTCCTGGGTGGGGGCAGAAGCTGTAGTTCTAATCCTGGCCCCCAGCACCTCCTTCCCTCTGCCAGCGAGGCCCTTACTCCGCTTGGAAGGGGGGCGGGGTGTGTCTGGGAAGCACTTTAGTGAAGGAGGAAGAGGCAGGAGGTACTTTTCAGAGGATGAAAAAAGCTAACAAGGAAGAAATCTACACAAAGGTGGCCCAATCTTCTCTTCTGGAAAGTTTTAAGCCTGGTGCTGAAGACGACGGTAAACCAACAGGCTGAACCACAGGCGGGTCCACAAGCAAGACACAGAGAGTGGTCCACAGCCGAGGCCACTCAGACAACATCTGAGCCAGGCCTAGGGAGGGGAAGATATTTGTCAAGGGAGGAGGGCAGGGCCTTCTAGACAGAGGCAAGAGCATGTGCAAACTCTCAGACGGAACAGGGGAGGCCTGGCCCACTGAAAAAGTCGGGGCATCCAGGAGGCAGGCATCCAGCAGGGGTGGCTGGGGGGTCAGAGGGTGCACTGCAGGCAGACGGTGATGGGTGTGGGTTCACCCTTTGCCAGAGTTGGTGAGGGCTTCAGGCCTTGGAGTTACACTCCAGACAGACATGGTGGCCATGGTGTCATGGAGAATGTGAGGTGCATGGGACCTGTCATCACCTTTAGAGAAGCAGGACAGAGCTCTTCCAAGCTGGGGGCCTGAGAGGAATGAATCTACAGGAACTCTCAGGCCTCTGAGGAAGAGCCAATGACCTTTCTAACACTGGAATCAGATCATGACTCTCCCCTGCTAAACCCTCCCCCAGGCTCCTGCCACACCAAGTGACAGCCCACCCTTTCCCTAGCCTACGGGGCCTACAGAAACTGCCACCTGCTTGTCTCTGGCCTCTTCTCTCTCTCCCCCTCATTCACTCTTTGCACTGACACCTGGACCTTCTTTCTGTCCCACAAACACACCACACCTGTTCCCATTTCCAGCCTACCAGTCGCACAGGTCTCCGAACAGAATTCTCTGCCCCCAGGTCCTGCCACAGCTCCCACCATTCAGATCTCGGCTAACATCCGCTCCTTGGAGAGCCTCTCCTGACGCCTCCCCTTGAGGAGCAAGCCCATATTCAATCCACCTCGCCCTGTGTCATCTCCCTCGTTGGCAAACATGCTGGTTTCCCACCTATCATCTGTCTCCCTCCACTGAAGCGTAAGCTCTCCGAGAGCAGGGGCCACACCTGTCTTACTCATCTCCATGTCCACACCATCTGGAACAGTGCCACACCTGTGGCAGACACTCAGAGGGCACTGGTGACAGTAAAGCGCAGATGAGAAAGGAGGCTCTCTTGAGGGGTCCTGGGATCCAGAAATGGCCTGGTTGTTCCCCTCAGTGTTTTCTAGCTCACCTGGTAGGTTATGGCTCACAAAGTAGAAACCTACAAATCCGGACCAACAGAAGCCTTCAGGTGAATAGAGAAACTCGGGTCAAGGATACCTGGATGGTTCATGTCATCATCTTTACACAGTGTGGTCTGGTATTGAAGAGCGTGAGACCCAGAGCCAGACTGGCTGGGTTCAAAGTCCAGCCCCTCCCCTTCCTGGCCTGTGGCCTTGGCCAGGCTTAGTACCTTGCTGGATGCAGCCTCCTCGCAGGTAAAGCACAGATACAGACACTACTGCCATCACTGAGCTTCTGTGCAGGTAACTGAATAAGTAATACAGTGACTGGCAGAGAGCAGGGACTGGCTGTCACTGTCAGCAGGATTTGTGGACCCTAAGAGGGACCCTGGCTTAGGGAAAAGAGACAGGTGGCTGCCACTCCCTCTCATCAGAAGCTTTCTGCGTGTTTCTGGCAGGAGGGAGAGCACGGCCTCCCGGGAGCGCCACGGCCATGGCAGGGCAGGGGTGAGGCAGCAGCAGCCTCTGTCTTACACGCTGGCTGTCTTCTCCTCGTCACTCTCATACTCGGCCAGAAGCAGCTCCTCCTCCTCAGACTCCAGCGGCTCAGCCCACATCCCTGCGGCCAGCATCTCCCTGCTCAGGCGGAGGAGATGCTCCGTTTCTTCCTCTTCCTGTCTCTGAGTAGGAGTATTGGAGGTGGGAAAGGAGGAAGACATCTCAGCACTGGTGCCCCCCACCCCCCGATGGAGTCAGCCTCCATCGTGGCTGTCATCCAGGACAAAGCACACACACGTGCACATTACAAAGGCCTCCCTGCTTGGCTGGAGAGGGAATTTGCTCCCAGAATCAATGCCTCAACTACTCAGGCTGCCCAACTACTGGGTGAGCAGAACTTAGCCAGTGGGGGTCAGGAAGTGGAGACTGAAGCCCTGGCCACTCACCCAAGAGTCTCCAAGCAGCATGACACTGCCTGGACAGGACCGCGGGCCCTCCAAGGATGACACTCACCAGGCGTTTGGCTGCATACTTGAGCTGCGCGTTGTGGCGGATCTGCTGCAGGCGCTCTTCTCGCCGCCTCCTCCTGACCTGCTCCTCCTAAAAGGCGAGACAGCCCTGAAGGAAAGGCCTGCAGGACACCCAAAGCCAAGCCTTTCCCAGAGGCAGGGACTACTCCGCCAGTCCTCTTCTTTCACATGGGGCAGCCCTCCCCGCCCCGGCAACACGCAAGGCAGCTGCAGCGCCCCCATGCCCAACTCAGCCCCTGCCAGTCTGGCCTGGCTGCTCCTCGTGGGAAGTCTGCAGACGACCTCCCAAAGCCACACACTCTCACTCACTCATTCTTTGAGTTTGCGCCACTGAGCCTCGTTGCCAAGGGCAACGGGTAGGTTCCTTTCCCAGGTGAGTAATGAATAGGAATCACCAGCCCCTTGTCTCAAGAAAGCCTGTTGACATCCAGCTCAAATAAGACAATAAAGGAGCAGCACTATTGACCCAAGAAAGCTTACAGAACAGCTAAGAGACACTGCAAAGGCAAAGAAGAACACGTGACACCTGCCTCTGGGCATCAGCCCAAAGCAGTCACTGAAGCCCCATTCCCCCTTCATTCCTGCTTCTTCCACAGGTCTCACCTTCAGTCGATCCACCAGGTCCCTTTCTTCTTTCTGCTGCACAAACTGAGTAACCCAGTCTGGTTCTCCAGCAGGCCTTGCGGTGTCTGGGGTCTCTTGGCAAGAAGATGAGAGACATGGGGACGGATCCTTCCCATCACATAAGGGGCCAGGGCCAGGTTCAAGGAGGCGTGCCTCTTCCTGATGTTTCTTCTGTTCAAAGTCACGGAGCCAGGAGAGAGCCCCACAAATAAGACTTAAGGACTTTCCCTGCAGGAAGAAAAATGATCTTCAGAAATAGAGGACAAAAAGCAAAGCTTCCCAAATGACTTTTCCCCATTTTAACAAAGGCTTCAAAGAAGGTCAGGCTTTAAATAGATGCTCTAAAAGGATGCTCTAAGACAAGCCTTGGAAAGGAAAGAAAGGGAATTAGCAATAGAATTTCCAGTAAAAACAGGAAAAAGGAGGAAATAAAAATTGGGCCCAAGAAGCAGGAAAGAGCCTCTTTGTTTAATTATACAGCTCACTATTCTAAAAAGAATTTAGGGGCCGGCCCGGTGGCGCACTGGATAGTGCGCCGCTTGGGAAGCGCAGCGGTGCTCCCGCCCGAGGGTTCGGATCCCACATACAGACCAGTTCCCGCTCACTGGCTGAGCGAGGCGCAGGAGCAACGCCGAGGGTTGCGATCCCGTCGCCGGTCCCCGGTCCGGTACGGGGGCAACACTGAGGGTTGCGATCCATTGCCCGACACGGAAAAAGACAAAAGACAAAAAAAAAAAAAAAGAATTTAAAGTGGCTTATCAGATTATATATAAATACTGCGAGTTAACATAATTGGAAGGTGGAGAGAAATTAGATAAATAGCCCCCAAAATGAATTAACATCAAAAAATGCACAACATGAAATCCCATGCACTTGCCAAGGGGGAGCCACGTTTGACCGTAATCTTTAACGCAGCCGGCGTGAACATACAACACAATCAGTCACCTGAGTCTCAGCGTTTACGTGTTCTCTAACAATTTAAAAGTAAGCCAATTACTCTGGAGAACACAACTCTTGATCTAAAGACCAGAATTTTCCCGTGGGTCCTTGTTATGAGTTGAACTGTATCCCCCTGAAATTCCTATGCTGAAGTGCTAACCCCCAGTGTCTGGGAATGTGACCTTACTTGGACACAGGATCATGCAGATGGAATTAGTTCAGATGAGGCTATGAGGGTGGGCCTCAGTCCTTTATAAGGATGGTTTCCTTATTAGCAAGGGGAAATGTGGATGCGGACATGCATAGGAGGAAAGCGACATGAGACACAGGAGAAAACGCCACCTATAAGCCAAGGAGAGGGTCCTGAACAAAGGGTTCCTCACGGCCCTCAGAAGGAAGCAGCCCTGCTGACACCTTGATTTCAGACTTCCAACCTCCAGAATGTGAGACAGTAAATCTCTGCTGTTTGAGTCACCCAGAGTGTGGGGCTTTGTTATGGCAACCCTAGGAAACTAGTACAGTTCTCCTGGAAAGGAGGCTGCCATGAGTCCCCCAGGGCCACTGCCTCTGCTGTCCAAAGGTGGTTCAGTTGAGTCTCTGAGGGGCACATACCTCTGGCCCAGGTGTTCAGCTCTTGGAGCCTACTTAGCCCAGAGGGGTCTCAGAGTATCCAGAGGGGGACTCCGAACCTACCCCAGGCTGGAATGGGCTACAGGTGAAATGGAATGTGTGTTTAGAGTCGGGGGAACAGCACTGCACAGCGGTTACGGCTTCAGACCCCAGAGCCAGGCTGTGGGGGCACACGCTGGCTCCTCCACAATACCAGCTCTGGGACTTGGCCTAACCTCTCTAGCTTCACATATGCACATCAACATACACACTTCACTATCACACAGTACTTCCTACAGAAGGCACTAAACAGAGCGCAGGGGAGAAGCTGGGAACCCTTCCCCACAGCACTCGTCATCTTCACCAGCCGGCCTCTACTACTCCCCTCCCCACCCAGCCACAAAGCAAAAACTCAAGGGCCCTTGACTAGGTCCTCCAGCACGCAGTAACCTAGCTCCTGGAGACTAAAACAATATGTGTAATCTGTGGAAAAGCCTAAGCAAGTTCTGTGTCTCTCAACATCAAAACAGTTGTGTGCCCAGAGAAATCTGGAAAGTTTCAGTGCTCCGGGTCACTGTTTCCACAGCCATTCGAATTCTCATTTGCATTTAGCCAAGTTTTTCTCAGACCCTGGGACTGTGTTTAACAATTAATAGAGAAAGTGACTATTACTCAGAAAGATGAACTGAGAGACTACTTTGCCCAGCTGCAAACCCTGAAGATCTCCGCAGAGGTAGTGGAAAAGCAAGCAAGCCTGCACGCAAGCGGTCTCAGCCAGGGCCCCTCGCTGCTCGTGCAAGCCTGCATGCGAGCCGTCTCAGCCAGGGCCCCTCGCTGCTCGTACTCACGGTGCCAGTGGGACTCTCAAATATCCCAATCTTGCCAGCCTCCAAAACCTGGTACAGTGCTGCCATGAAGTCCTTCTGGATGGAATAGGGTGTGAAGGGAAAGGGGAAATGGATGTCACCAACCTCCTGGACGTTATTAGCCATGGTCCTAGGAAAAAAATAAGTCTGATAGCTCTCATGAGCCAGGGACATGTGGCTTGGAATCTAGAGATACCTAAGCACAGTCTCCATACTCCATACTTGTTACAGAATCTCCCCTTGGGCTGTACTTTTTTTCTGCAAGCAGAGACCATGTTCTCTCCATCCTTTGCATGTACACATGAAGCCACACCAGAGTCATGCAATCCATCTAACGACATTTATCAGAAATGTCTACAGCAGAACACAGCCTAGGAAAGCCCCTAAACCTAAATCTCCCCTGCCATTTCCCTGCTGCTTGGATACCTTTCTAATGCCTCTCCAAAAGGCTTACAGCTTTCCTCTCCAAGCTGTGTGCCCCTGGGATCAAGGATGTTGCTTGCAGTTACTTTTGCAGCATTCTTCTCCCACATCTCCTTGGCGATGCAGCATTCGCACACCAAAGCTGCTTCACTTTACCCGGTCATGGAGACCTGTAAAATCACGACACATGGGCGCACAATTACAAGCACAGCTTGTTTAGATGGCACAGGTCAACACAGACATCCATGTTTTACAGATGCTGTTAGTTTGCGTCTTAGTTCACCCTAGCCTCCATTTCCAGTACAATCCAGAGCCACCTCCTAATAAGTTTTCTGGCCCAAGAAGTAAGAGCTTTCTGTTTGGTTCCAGACTGGGAGAGTTCTCTTCACAGCCACCAAGCTCTGGCTGGAACAGCTCCCCAATACTGAGACCACAGCATTTCTCTTTCCTTCCAGGCCTAGGTCTAAGAAAACCTTCTCTGTTCCATGTTGAATTCATCTTTTTCTCCTCTTCTGAACCTAATTTCCTCTGAGATAGCTTTTACATGTCCTTTCTTCCTTTAATCACCACGGGGAGGACCAACTCTTCCGTCCTGGTTTCCACACCTCTTTTTTTGGAAGTCACCTCTCCAAACTATTTGGCAGGTCCATCTCTTCAAAGTACAAATTCTGATTAAATCTAAAACCATTTTATTAACATGAATAAATCTAAAGCCCATCTTCGTGACACTGGCCTCAGTGAGACCAGCGGCCATGTTGATCCATTTATGAGGCCGCCACCATGATGTTCTTCCGGTTACAGTTTAGGGGCAATTAAAATGACTATTGAGGAGCAGAGCCCGTGGCGCACTCGGGAGAGTGCGGCGCTGGGAGCACAGCAGCGCTCCCGCCACGGGTTCGGATCCTATATAGGGATGACCGGTGCACTCACAGCGCTCACTGGCTGAGTGCGGTGCAGCCGGTCTCAAAAAAAAAAGGACAAAAAAAATAAAATAAAATGACTATTGAGGTGGAGAGATTAGTATAAGAAGGGTGACAAAAAACTAGGACAAGTCAATACTGAGAGGGAGGTTTATAATCAAAAAACCATCAAAACACAAAAGAAAGGGGAAGTAGAAAGGTACCTAACAAGTTTTGAGCATGTGCTGTGTGTTAAACACTCCACAGGCCCTTTTACTTTCTCGTTAAATCTATACAACACTAAAGGATGGGCCGGCCCGGGGGCACACTCGGTAGAGTGCGGCGCTTGGGAGCGCGGCGGCGCTCCAACCGAGGGTTTGGATCCCATATAGAGACCAGTCCGCTCACTGGTTGAGCGCGGTGCGGGCGCGACACCGAGGGTTGCGATCCCGTTGCCGGTCACGGTACGGGTGGGCGCAACACTGAGGGTTGCGATCCCGTTACCGGTCATGAAAAAAGACAAAAAGGGAAAAAAAAAAAAAACACTAAAGGATACAGCTGTTGGATACTGATGTTTACAGAAATTAAACAACTTCTCAAAGTCATAGCTAATAAGAAGAAAACCAGGGATTCAAACCCAGGTCCATACGGCTCTGTTTCAGTCAAGTTCATCTATTTCGGGGCCGGCCCGTGGCTCACTCAGGAGAGTGCAGTGCTGATAGCACCAAGGCCACGGGTTCGGATCCCGTATAGGGATCGCCAGTTTGCTTACTGGCTGAGCGTGGCGCTGACAACACCAAGCCAAGGGTTGAGATCCCCTTACCGGTCATCTTTAAAAAAAAAAAAAAAAAAAGTTCATCTATTTCAAGAGACAATCAGCATAAGTAAAACGGAGGTTTACAGAAACGAGACATACGAAGAGGTTAATAATTGAGACTATCTGGGAAAACCAAAAACAAAAGCCGTTGACAGGGTGAGGCTTCTTGCAGACTAGAACTGAAAGGCAGCTAGGATTTCAAGACAGCTCCAGGAATCTCATCAGCAAGTAAATACCCATGGATTCTTATTCACCTGCCCAGTCACAAGCCAGACGGAGCCACAGGCCGACTTCCCCAGCTCACTCATAGTTCCTGCTTACCCAAAACTTTAGCCTGCACTGGGCCTCTTCAGCCCCCTCTATCTTTTAGCTTCAGCTCCCAATGCCAAGTGAAAATTCTTTTCATGTTTCTTAGTTCTAAATTCCAAGAGAAAATCTGATCAGCGTCTCCTCTCCTGTTCTGTGAGACCACTGGTCAGGCACCAGCCTGATCTAGGCAGCTTGGGCTTAAACTTGCTATCCCAGCCTGGGGAGTGATGAGGCCTCAGCTCACCTCCTCAGAGAAGCCTCTCCCTCTATGTGGCCACCCTATAGAGGTCAAAGACACCCCCCCACACACATACACCGCCTTGCTGTCACACTTTTATCACACTGCCCCGTATCTAATTTCTTCGTAGCTCTTAGCACTATCTGAACTTTATTTATGCTCTCCCCCACTATAATATAAGCTACCTAAAAGATGGAACCTTGTCTGTCTGTTCTTTCCTGCCCCCAGGACTCACAACTAGGTGCTTCAGCACCTCACAGGCATTCAATTAAAATTCTATGAATGACTGAATAGCCAGCTAGACATGGAGACTGTAAGTACAGGTTTCTGTGCATCAGAGGTGCGGGTAGCAGAGGTCCCACGGCTTGAATATTTAGTCCAAGAGCCAGTTATTTAATGGTTTCAAACTGTTTTCATATAACATCGCACCCCTGTGTGGTATTTTTATTAGCTTTTTTATAGATGAAGAAACTGAGACTCAGAAAAGTTAAGTGACTTGCCCAAGGTCACTCAGCAGGTGGCTGAACCCAGGATTTGAACCATATCTGCCAGACCCCCAAGCCCTTGAGCTTTTTTAGCCTTTCAATTTTTTTATTACTCACAAAAACTTCATTTTTTATTTAGCTTTCTGTCTCTGTGCTCATGCCTTCAACACTTTCACAATGATTTTCTGCTCCTCAGTAAGGCTTAAAGTACACTCGATCCTGTCACAGACACACTCAGCACGCACAAAGCCACCACAGGCCCTGCTGACATGGTTTTTCATTTTAGACAACCTCCTAAGAATGTTAGGTCTCACAGCACGTACCCCTCAAAGTCTGCCAGGGCACACACCACATGCAGACTTTGGTGCTTTCCCAATCTTCTTGGTATAAAGGCCAACGATTCTATTTCCAGGGGTTCGAGACAGTCCAGTTTTGGTAGAGGTTATGTTGTAGGAAAGCTATGATGGCATGTCACGTGCTGGACCATTCTGAAGGCCCCATGCTAGCTCAAAGGACTGCCCCTTGGGCTTCATGTTTCATCACTCTTCCTCCCACCAATATAAGTAGAGTGAAAATGAAGGGCTTGGTTACCAAACTCTAGCATGACAACACGAGACAATACGGAACAAAAGTAGTTATTATTTCACTTCCCTGTGGGTGGTAATTATGGATCTCATTATTCCAGAAGTAGCACAGGCTAAATCATAGTTAAAGAAAGGTTCAGATAAATCCAAGAATAATAGATGCACTAAGTGATTAAGGTATCTGGTGTACCTTTTTCAGACTGCTTCAGGTTGGCTGTGTGAAGGACAACCATGACCTCCCACACAAGTTCTGCGTAGAATTCTCCAACGGTGCCGAGGCACACACCAGCACGGCAAATCTTATGTTCATTGAATGCACTTCGAATACACACTAGTTCTGAAAGTGTGCATTTTCTTCAGTCCTCAATTATCACTAGTTATTGACTTACTGAATATAAACTATTGCTATAAACTGAATGGTCTCCACAAATTTCATGTGATGAAGGCTTAACTCCCAATATGACTGTATTTGGAAATAAGGCTTTAAGGAGGTAGTTAAAGTTAAATGAAGTCTTACGGGTAGGGTCCTAATTGGAGAGGACTGGTGGCATTACAAGGAGAGAAAGAAAGAGATTTCTCTCTCTGCCATGTGCGGACACAGCAAGAAAGTGGCCATCTGCAAGCCTAGAAAAGCCCTCACCAGGAACTGCATCTGCCAGTACCTTGATCTTGGACTTCCCAGCCTCCACAACTACAAGAAAATAAATTTCTGTTGTCTAAGCCACCTCAGTCTACGGTATTTTATTATGGCAGCCTGAGCAGAACGAGACAACTATATTCCAGGTACTATACTGTACTGTTAAATACTTTAACTTCATACACCTCAAAGACACCAAGCCCCAAGAAAAAAGCTTTTCTGCACCTGCTGTTAATCCAGAGCCACATCACGCAGCAGGGCTGCAATGCCCCAACAGCTGGGGAGATGGCCTGGCCCATACGTACCCATATTCTCACGTTGCTTTGGCCTTGTCTCCCCTTCCACCTCCACCCTCAGCACTCTCACACTGTGCAGGACCCAACCAGTTACTGATTAGTATTTATTTCCACTTTTACACTTCCACAGAGTCTGGTGAATTACATTGATCCCAGTCCTCTTTACTGACCCTGCTCCTCCCTGACTTCCTAAGGGGCAGTAGAGCAAAACGGTAACAGTGTGGACTCTGGGGTCAGAGCGCCAAGTCTGAGATCCCAGCTGTATCCCTGAGCCTCAGTTTCCTCATCCGTAAAAGAGAGATGGGTAACAGTACACACAGTGTTATAGTGACCACTAAATAAAACTAAAGTGCTTAGCACCGCTGGACCAAACGTAAGACCGTGACACGTGACTCCTACAAACCGCCCCAGTCCTACCTCAGGACGCCGCCCGCACTGGCCTGCCCTTCCCCTTCTCATTGAGTTCTCGCTGTCAATCACACACCGGCCCCGCCCCTCCAGCGCCGGAACGTTTTCCCGCTCCCACTCGCCCCGCCCTTCGGTAGGGAGGTCGCACGGGTGCACACGGTCTGCCTCCTGTGCGCTTCCGCCGGGCTCCGCCCTTTCTCAGCTAGCTTCTCCTGGCCCTCAGCACCGCCGCCTCGCAGCACTGTGCTCACCCTCCTCACCGGCGGAACGGCTTCGCCGAGGCCAGGCCGGCGAGCAATCAGAGCGGAAGGCAGCTGAATTTGAAATCGCGGTTTCGCGCGGCCAACGTCAGCGCGCCGCGTTGCCACGCCCCCACGCCACTGCGCATGCGTA